AAGTTTATTACAAGCTCGAAAATACTCAGAAATGGATTCAGTGGGCCATGGGAATTTTATGCCAAGCTATTTGTGGAAGGAAATGGTAAGTTTTTAATACATTTAGCCCGAAGAGTGTAGAAAATAGACACCATTTAAATTCTTCTCGGCTAATCTAATGTTAGTTTGGAGTTGGTATCAAATCGGGCCTTTTTTTTTAACTTACATGGTGAACAGTTTCTTTCTCCTCACATGACCTGACTGAACACTGTTAGTCTACGGTCAGGGTGGGAGTCTTATGCCCTCGTTTCCAGGGCTTTTCTCTAAGGGAGAGGCCCTGGAAACGAGGTTGCGTCTTATGTCCATTACCGTGAGACCATCGTTACGGAATGTCGACAGGTAAATTGGCAAACTGGACTGAATTGAATGATGTGGCAGGGACGTTTTACCACGTATACACCCTTGAAGCCCAGGACACCCTATTCTCCTTTCCTTAGCTCCTACCTCGTCTCTTAGTTTGCTCGCTCCAGTCTCCTTTCTCCTTTGTTCGTATTCTGTATGTCCACTTGCTCGTTAACTCTTTGTCCCTACTCGACCGCTAGGCATAACATCTTTAACAGGTTCGATTGATGAGTCACCAACCGTAATGTAAAATGTGAAAAACAGTTAAATGTTAAAAAAAAACAACAAAAAAAACAGTTCGCCCGTATCGAGAAGGCGTTCTCGGATGAAGTGAGATGTGAAATTGGCACGTGTTACACGAAACAAAGAAGAGGGTCAGTAGCTGTTTCCCTTACTTGTGTCGTGAAGGACAAACGACAAACGATTTTGTAAATCAATCTAACACAAAACTGAAAAAAAACTCTCCTATTCACAGCAAATACAAATATTCTCACTTAAGTGTACAAACGGCTAAATAACAAAAGTTTGCGACAACCCAGTAACGTCTCTCATTCTTAACCTCTCCAATCATCTCTCTATACCTCTCAAAGAGAGACTCCAGGATTGCCTAAGTTACAAAAATTTCTCTACAGGAGACAACTGCAGTGATCTTGCAAGATTAGTTCTGAAACCTTCATTCATTCATTAAGTAATTCATTCTTAATTGACTTTTTAATGCATTTACAGTGACTTTGAACTTCTGGACTGACCATGTCCTAGACTGGTGGAAGCACAAAGATGATTCCAATGTCTTGTTTCTTAAATATGAAGATTTACAAAAGGTTTGCTGTAGTGGTGTTTGCAGTTTAGCCTGTTCGAAACGCATTGTTGGTAGAAAAACCAAAAAAAGGCCCGCGTGGGCAATTCGCGTTTAATTTTCTTGAGCTTATTGGAGGAACGCGGTAATTTGAATCACTAATATACAATTTTCAGAGATTTTCAGGCTTCGTCAGTCTGAAAATCCTCTGTTCAAGTGTCGTAAAAAGTTGACAGTGGGAAACGTTGAAACATCTTTGAATGTATCACAACAATAGCTTGACGGTTGTTTATTAATTTTTCGTAGAAAAACCGTAAATTCTTCACTTGATAATCTCGATTGTCAAATATTGTTCTTGCCAATCAGTCTTTTTTCCCCACTGCGTAATTGTTGTAGCAAATGTACGTTTTCAAAACTGGCGTGTGAAATATTCAATAAAGTTCCAAATATTTCAAAGCCAGGAAAATGATAGTTCTCTCTCCACCAGGATCTACTTTCCCATGTTCGAATGATCGCTAACTTCCTCAACAAGCCGCTGTCAGATGAACTCATCAGTCGCATTGCTGAACAGTGCACTTTCAGTGGAATGAAGAAAAATGCTGCAAGTTACTCAGTAAAGAGCAAGGAGGGCGAAACATCGCTTCTTCGGAAGGGAGTGGTCGGAGACTGGAAGAATTACTTCACTCCAGAACTGAATGAGAGATTTGACAAGGAAGTACTGGAAAAATTGAAGGGAAGTGGATTAGAGTTTGATTTTGAGATTTAGTAGATGTTTACTAAGACAACGAACTCTCGAAAACGAATGAATAGGATAATTTATAATTAGTATCTATGCAAGCAACATGTTACACATGCAAAGGGTCAAAGTCTGATGTTAATTAGAAAATAATGATGTAAATTAAATAACTGAATGATTACCAGGCAGTCTGTTTCAATGTGCAATTTACTAAAGGATGCTGATCGGAGCTATAACCAAATTCGCGATCATGGTTGGTTCTCCGCGGTCTGATTGTAATCGAAACGGTTAGTTTTTCTCTTTTGCATTACAATTTAATCCGTCTTGGATGCGATGCAATTTTGGGCAGAAACTACAAAGTTTCCCGAAATTTCCTCACATACACGCTGGATTATATTATAATGCAACTGAGAAAAGTATACCTTTTATTTTTCTTTCGCGATGAGTGGTGAACCCAGTAAGAGCGTGTACCACTTACAGATCATGCAAAATTCATCTTGGAGAGGTGCAGGAGACGCCTTGGATCTTCACTATCCCGTTATGTTTTATCGGTGATTAACTTAATGTAATTAACGGCTGCGAAGGAGAATTTCATCGCACTAGAAGCAAGGCTAGAAGCTAGCCTTTGAACAGGCTCCCGACTGGGCTATACGGAGAAGAAGAAAAATAGGCGGTTGGGGGTGTCAACTCGCTTCGCTCGCCGAATGCTCGCCGCTGACCTTCGTTTCCGGCCTATTTCGTGCTGCCTAGACCATGTACGGCTGCTAGCTGAGAGGCTGGGGAGAGGGAATAACGGAAGCTCTTCATTAACCATTCTCGTCCTCGCTACTCTTAGCTTGCGGGGCCTTAGAGAGAATGGTTCCCCGCGCGCCTTCCCACTACAAAATCCCCCCCCCCCCTACCCAAGGGAGGATCTGCGGAGGAGAGAGCGCTTAGCCTGCAGCTATAGAGCGTTTTGACTCACATGGCCAGCACACATGCAAATTTATTTGCAGAAAGGGAAATTTTTACATAAAAAAAGAGTTCAACTCCCACAGGATAGCTGGTTTTCACATGCCG